GTTTTGATGTCAAATTAATTAAATCAAATCAAATCAAATCAAATCAGATAACTTTTAATTATTTTAAGACTGAAATTGTTTGATTTGCCCCGTCTACATGTGCATCAGAGCATTTTACAGATAGCCTTTATCTCTCTTACAAACGGGCCATACTGTCTAATCATCATGCAATTTATCTCACTACCACACATTTATCCCATCTCTTAGTCACAAAACATATTTCACCTTTCAAACAAACCCTTCTCATTCCTCTCTTGTTAATAAACACATTGCAGTGTTCGTGCTTCTCCACCTACACACTGTACTGAGCTCACTGCTACCGTGCTAATGAGATACTTTTCATAATTAGCTTGAGATCTGTTTCCCAATCAGAAAGACAGCGAGAGGCTAATTAATCACAGCACATTAGCCAGCCTGTATGTTTACTCATATCTATTTACTTTGCTTTATGGCAGTGAATGACGATGTGATATCGCCTGCTGTTTTTGGAGTAAGGCAAAGCTGTTGCATTCTCTGAAGAAAGCCAAGGTCAGAGATAATTGATTTTTATTAGTGCCTTGAGAGGTACAGTTTGGTAAGGCAGTAAAATTAGAATTCAGAGACACTGTTTGTTCAGACAGCAGGAACAGACTGATTCCTGCTGTCAGTCTGACTTCTTATTTGCAGTGAATGATTGTAGAACAGAGACAGCTATAAAAGAAGTTATTCAGAATTTGAGAGAAGGTGAAGTGTATATGACACATCAGAGCCAACATAAAGGGTGAAACACATCATTTATGCAGTGTATGTGTGTATGCCACACTGAGGTCTTGTGAACCTGTCTAAACTGCCAGTACTGCTGACTGAGCAGCGTATGCATACGTGGGTCACTGGTGAGACATTAGTTTGGTGTTCAAGCAAAAGCCGCAGGGCTCCAGGGACCAGTGAAAGTGAAGGATTGACACATGAATACATTATTTCTTGCACGACACCCACGTCACAAGACAACGTCTAGGTGTCAGTATCTGTGTATGCAGGCAAAAGAAAACCAGGAGTGACTGACAACCAGCTAACCTATGTCAAATAACGGCACTCAGCAAAGCCTTTGCCCATTAACCTTGCTAACCCGGCACTTTGGAAGTCTCCTTAGTACAGTGGTAGTCTTCTAAAATAGCCATTTTAACATAATGGACCACTGAGCTAGTCTCACTTATTATCCACCACAACGAAGTACAGGGCTACTTGAGACAGCAGCAAAGTGAATTTTTCAGAATGTACATTACATTTCTACATCAACAAGGATTAGCTCTCGTTAACCAAAGTGACTTACACTTATACCCAACAGAACAACTTTGAATTCACAAATGATTAAATACATTATTGTCCAAGGCTACATAATTTTTTTCACCCAATATAGTCTTCCTCAAAAACAGCATACCCTTTAATTCTGTCTTTACAGCATTAAACCTCTCTGAGTAATGTTGCCATTCCATTAATCACATCCTAACAGATGTAAAGGAATTCATTTTATTTTGTGACAATCATTGCTAATAGAAATGTATTCCAGATGGGATAACTGCACCACACCAAGTCCCAAGGACTCTTTGAACCTCCAAAGTGACTGGTTAAAAGCTCTTACTGCATAAGCACATGTACGTGTTCCAGGCAAGTATTCCTAGGTTTTGCTTCTATATTGGACTATTCTGGCATTGACATATACAGCTAATGGTCAGAAGTGTGCCTTTTATGTAGAGAGGCAAAAAATAAAGCTGATAATGCTCAAGACTGTTAATAGCTGCTCCAAACCTGTTGGCATGATGGTACCTGTGTTTGGCTTTGCCGCTGCCTGTCTCTCTCGTTTTGTCCTACCTGTCCTGTGTGTTGCTCTGTTCGTTAATGACGGACTGGCTGCTCAGGTGTATGATCATCAAACTTATATTATACATATATATATATACATCAGAGCTTCTATGGTGGATCATATAGTTCCAGATCCAAGGGTTGATGTTGTACAATCTTTGTTGCCCACAATTGTGCCTGTTGTCGGCAATTCTAGCAGTGATCGTCACCACCAAAGTTCCTGCACACCCCAAAGGAAGCGTGGTAAAAGAGCCAGAATCCAGGTGAGGCAGTTCTGTAACTGAGGAGATGTTGGAAAACGGCACAGATCGCTTCTGATGAAGCTTGCCATGGCGTATCCTGCTGCTCTGTGGAATTACTTCTCCTTGCCCCCAGTTGGAAATGTCAGACTGTTCTGTCTCCGACACTCGTGCGGACACTTTTAAAAACCCATTTGTTTAGACTTCCTTTTGTTTAGTGCTAGTGTCTTATTTCATTTTATTTGTGCATTTCATGTCTGCTCTTTTGTCTCTTATTGTGAAGCACTTTATGGCGCCTGCTCTTAGAAAAGGTGCTATATAAATAAACGTACTTACTTATTTGCAAAGAGCCAAGCTTGAAGTTCGAGTGAAAGCACTCCCTGTCAGATTGTTGGTTTCGGAGAGTCAGAGATTGGAGGACTCAGCCATCCCCAATTTTGTTGTCGGAAAGGGGTTGGGGCAAGGGGTTTCAGGCACTGTTTGACCATTTGACAAGTATGTCAGTTGAATAATACTGATGCTTTAAGGGTACGGAGGTTGGGCTGGTGGATGGGTGTCCCCTTTACAATTAATTTGGCCTTTTTTTTTAAACCATAGCCATGGAATTTGGACAGTCTTACCCGATATTGCCTAATGTTAACCATACATTGACTATACTTTGCCATGCACAGACATCGTAGTGTTTTTCTGCACCAAGGTCTAGGTTGTTTTTCACTTTTCCATCAGTTCCAACTACATCACTCTATGTATAGTTGTCACTGGAATGGAAAAACTCGGGATGATGACTGACTGAGTTTGTGTAGACACTTGTCAACTAATAAAAGTGTGTTGTGACAGACTAGACAGGGGAATATGCTCCAAGTTTTCTTCTTATACAGGTGTAACTCAATTCATGAATAAAAAATGGGTTTAGGTATAGCAGAAGTTTCTAAAATTCTAAAGATGAACATCAAAGTTTGTTTCCTTGATGTTGTTACCTGTAGCATATAGCTGTTTGTATCACCTACCTTTCTTATCATCTTTGTTTCTTAGGGCGAGGCGCCTGCACTTTGTCAGACATAGCCATGCATAAAACAATGAGTCTATCTATACCAGTGCTTTTCACTCTTCCTTACATGCTGTCTGTGATTTTGAAGCTTGTGAGCTGCTGTAGCGCTGCACTGGTGGCTGATGTCAGTCTTAGCCGGCTTTCAGGCACAGCAGTGCCACTTTACTGTGTTGTTCCAGACCAGTGAGTGTGGTGACTATTGCACCCTGCTCAGCAGTCCGAGAGGATTACTGGACAGGTTTGGAGTGATGTAAGAGACTAGCAGGGAAATGCTGTGGGTTTGTGCTGTTTATTAGTATTTTCCTATTCAATTAAACTTCATTATGTGGTGCTTTCAGGGAAGCACAGATTGGAAATTCTAACATATTAACATCTATTCTAAATTCAAATGTTTGCTGGGTATATATGTGTAAACAAAATAGAATCGCGGATGTGCTTCAGCAGGTGCTGATTTTATGAGCTTACAAGCAAAGGTGTTTTCTGTGCGTTGTGGTTCTTGCCCTCACCAGTTCAGCAGCATGACTGCAGTCATTCAGACATTTCATGTCTGTGTCATAGATGCATTGTAATTAAAACCTGGTTAGCCTAATTAATGAGGCTTAACCGCTACCTGTGCACTGCCCTGCCACTCCGCCCCAGCAATTTGGTAGAAGGACTGGATGACTATCTTCGCCCTGACCTGTGTCTGCCTGGTTGCACAGAGAAAAGAGGGTTTGTGTGTGTTTCTGCGTGTGGGGCAGTTTGCTGGCCTAGCTCAAAGGGGCACAGGGAGTGAGGGAGGTGAGATACAATGTAGAAAAAAATGTGGGAAGTGGTGATGAGAGGAAACAAGAGAGTGGCAAGAGAGAACTGATAGAAAGAGCAGGGAAAAGAGAGGGAGACTGCTGTAACACAGACTGGAGATGTTAATGTTCTTGTTTATTAATAATTTAGTGAGAAATCTCTTTCAGTACCATCACTTATGAAGTCCAGGAATACCCATGTGCTCTGCCCGCTGCGTGTGTGGGTGTGTGTGCATGTGTTTGTACTTTGTTGTTGTGTGGCTGTCAGTCTATTGAGAGCCAGAGGACATATGCTGGTCAGCCAGCTACCCTCCCTACTGTCTCATCATTTTCTCTCTTTCTCCCTGAAGGGTGGCCATTACAGTGAGCCCCCTCAGGCCATGCCACAGCACACACACATACACACACGCTAGCAAACAATGAAAAAATGTTTTAGTAAGCATTCACACATGCACGCTTGCACACACACACACACACACTCCCTCTCCATCCATCCATTCAGCCCAGCTCGAGGGCCTCGGTGAGTGGGCTCCAGCCCTGCGCAGCAGCCCCATGCTAGGGCCTTGGCCACATTAGCACCCTGGCGGGAGATAGGCTGGCTGGGCTCGCCAACAGCCTCTAGCTAACGTCCTCCCACAAGAGCTGGCACCCTTTAGAAAAGCTGGAATGGTCACAAAGTGGGAAGAATCTAATCCGTTTTTTTGCAGTGTCCTCAGCCACCATGGGGCTTATTTGGGCCACTTTCCACTCTAAATAAATATGAAATATGAGTCCTGTATGTGATGTGTGCTCACTGGGAATTATTGGATTAAATGGTTGCAGCACAGCACAGGGTTACCACTAAGAAAAAAAGCTGTGATGCAGCAGTTATAGTACAAGTAGCCAATTTAAACCCCTTCACAGTGATATCACATGACAGCTTTATATGGTTTATATCCTTAGTGTAAGTATATCCTGCAGCTATGCTTCCCTGTATGGATTAACACCTGAGTCATCGTTGACTGCTTCCATTCGGTCTGAGTGAGCGCGCCTTCACTGCTGTTGCTATGATCATCCTTCAGTTGACAGCCATTAGGTTGAAATGTACCGTACCTGCATAGGGGATGGGGGCGTCTTTGTCGAGGGCGACCAGAGGAGGATCTAGCAGAACGATGTCAGTGTTTTCAGTGATCACCCCATGGTACGATGTCTCAATCCAGGGCTTGTGTTTATTCACTGTGGAGACAAAAAGCAAAGTGTGAGATGTCAGTGATATACTTCTGCTACAAGGTGCAACAGAACTGTCAGCCTCAACATGCTGAGATATGCATCTTCAATTTCATTTCACCTGAAAAACTGTCCTCAGACAAACAATTTCACTTTGACACGCATGCACACACAGTCAAATACAGTGTGCTGCAGCAAGAATACATGCACTGTTTATTCTTGGCAAAGCTCCTCCAGCCTCAATTTCTACAAGACATTCTCATTTTGCTAATCTCCCCCGCTACCTCTTTCCTCTCTTTTGTTCTTTTCTTCCTTCAAACATCCCTGCAGGTTTCAAAGCACAATGCCATGCTTGATCAATGACCACCACAGTGCTGCCAGCAGAAAACTGTATCCAAGGCCAAGTCAAAACAAAGTCCATGAGCTGAGGGCCTGATTATAAGGGCTATAATTGAGTAACGGCCCCCTGGGCTGTGTGCGGCACAGTGCCGACCCACTCGCCATTTGTTTACCATCTTAGGGTCAAAAGAAGAAGAAGGAGGGAAAAAAGGGTAGAGGAAAACAACTGGAATCCTCAATTCATTAGTGCTTTTTAGCTGGGCCAGAAAAAGCCACAAATGACAGTTTGTCCACTTTAGCTTCAAGTTGTTGGATTGACAGTGACACAAAGCAAGGCTGTAATTTGTCGTCCCCTGAGAAACATAAAAAAAACCCAATAATAATATGTTTAATGGGGAATGAAGAGCATAAGCAATAATTACTCTCCATTCAGAAAGAAAAGAAAGGTCTTGGAAAGAAAGTGGACTCTAAGTGCAAATCAAGCAATCATTGCAGACCAGTTCAATTATTCAGTGAACGTCAGTAAAAGCCACTTGAAAATGGTAACACCTCCACACTTACTCCATTCCACAAAAGATCAGTTATGACAATGTTTCAACTTGGATCTTCGTCAGGTCGTTCTGACGTTACCTTTTTTCATTGTCATGGCCTTGCACCTACGTGATGTGTGTATAATTACTGTCCTTCAACAATAAAAGCCACTGGGCAATGCTGGAATTTCCAAATGACCTAGACAGACAATTCTAACCAGACATCATACTGTATTTAATTTTATTTTAATCATTTGCATACAGTATTTATGTGATTAATTGTTTTCAGTGCACTTCAAATCAGATGAAACAGCACTATATCACTGAAAAGCAATGTTTTCCAATCAGGGAAACTTCTGCAGTTTCCAGGGTGAGTGTGGACAGATTGTGGAGTAAATTCTAATTTGATTAAGAATATACATTGACATATTTGTGTTGACCATCTACACAGAACCATATCAGTTTGTGTTATGCTTAAAACTAGTTAGCAAGCTTACAGAGAAGTCAAAATAGTAAATGTTTTAAATAGCTAGCTAAGAGAGAATTTGTAATTATTAGCCAAAGGTAATGGATATACAGTTGACAGCTGAAATCAATGGATAAACATGTGAAACAGTAGAACAACAACATTAAAAGTAATTGATCATCAAAGAATGAAATGAACACATTTGGGGCATGACTGGTATGAGTTCATCTGACAGCCATATGGGGTTATGTCAGACAAAAAAAAGTTGAAAACCACTACTCTAAAAAAGAGTGCCAATCAATGTCCTCCTCTTGCTTTTGTGTTATTTTCCCCAAGTTGTGTAATGGTGTTTTTGAGGACTGGGTAACCGCTAGAAGCCAGTGAGACCTGGGAAAAACATGCTAACACTACACAGGGATGCATATTCATGAGTGCCAGCCCAGAAAGCATGGCTAACAGCCCTGATACAGTCAGTGGAGGTCATTTACAGGAGCAGGGGATGGGAACACATTAGTCTATTAGGACACAATAAATATGCATGAGTTTGCTACAACAGTGAGAGTAAAATGATACTGGATTTCAACTGTAAATGCCAAAGCATGTCATTTTGGGAATGAATAGCTTGCTGACACTGCTGTGCAGGAATTTCAAAGGGAAACATGATTTGTATGCATCACCCCTGCTGCTCACAAAGCTACGACTAAGAGAGACAAACCTGTATTTTGTGTAACATGCAATAGAGGTACAGAAGAATTAGCATACTGGTATTTATGTCAGATCTCGTTTTAGAATTAAACCGCCAGATATCTACAAAATCACCACTCTTTCTGTAGGATTGTGTTAGCATGAAATTTGAAAGCAGATGAAAAAAGCTAATCTCCTGCTCCAAGTTGGAACAAGTGCATAACCCCAATGAATGTGTAATACAGGGTATAACACTATTTGACCACAATGCGTGACAGCTAATGAGGAGTCTGGAGAATTGAAGGGGCTTGTCCTCAACTTCATATTCAGTCCTCTCACAGCTTAGGAGCCCTATTGACCTTTAAATCCTTGATGCCGCTTTGTGCCGCTCACCGCATCTACTTAGCAGTGTCAGGCTGACCTAAAACTAATTCTGTTATCAGCATTGCTAAAATGTTCTATTGTGGGGGCACAAAGTGAACCGGCAACAACGCTCTGAGACAGCAGTGAAAATGGAGGCTTTCTCGGGTCATAACACATATAACAAAAGTGGCAGACAACAGAACATCAAAATTTGGTGTGACGATATCTCCACGCTGGTGACCTTTGTGATATCACCAGTACACAAGATCCTTCCATCAGTCAGTGCAGCCTAGTGGCGCCCAGCCATTGTGGGTTAATGTTGTCTCGAACCCTCGCCACCTTCTCTCTGTGTGTGGGATGGAATGGTTTTTCACCAGGAGAGATGAGGGCATTAAAAGAGCTTCCACCTCCGGTAATCGCTGCAGTGTCTTGATGGGATGCTACCTACATGTCAACCCCACCCCCCAACCCACATCTGCAGCACATCCAATCACTGGTGAGAAATACAACGCTGGCGCTTTTCTAATAGAATGGGGTCCACGTATTGACAGCTTGAGACATGCCCATGAGTCATTCTAAAAAAATAGATGGATATGCTCCTCTCTTCTTGCAATTTAATGCAGGCTACCAGAGGTTGAAGAGGAGTGGAGGGGAGGAGAAATGAACAAGCTCGACCATCAGTTCCAGAGATTCCCAGAGAAAACATTGCAGCCGCTTACGACGATCGAATTCACAGTCGCAAGTGCTAATGCCTTGACACTAAGTGATTAGCTACATACTCCTCCATGGCAACTTGAATCAAAACTAAACACCGTTAATCCTCTAATCGATACGAAGGGAACATGACACCCCGCACCGCCAAATGTGTCTGCATCATTTCATTCTGCAGGTAGAGCGAGAAAGAAGCACTTCTCGCTCTTTGTCGCTCTCTTTGCTAAAAGCTTTTGTGTGGTAACGGCACACACCAACGAGAAGATTTGTCCTTTTGACATTTTGATAGAACCGAGCGATTATCATCCACGACGAGCGTTCAGGCTTCAGACAGCCTCTAATAGGAGTTGTGCTTAAAAAAAAAGATCAGCAAACACACACACAAAACCTGTGTGCCTGAGCTGCACTTCAAGTGACCCCAATTTTTAAAAGCAAACATCTTCGTTGGTGACTAAAAGCACTCAGTAAATGGCATGCAGTAACCTTTCTTTGTGAATGGAGGGAGGTCGATTTGCCAGTGTGAAAATATCGTGACTTTTTAGCTGAACATGACTAGCCGAGATGCAAGGGCTTTTTTACATTTAAGGACAGAGCAAGAAATCAAACTCACCATTTTCAGTTTCATATGTTAACAAATACAGGAAACTGATACAAGATAGTTGTTTGCTTATTTAGACCTGAGTTGGGATTCAAATACCATGACCTTTTTGCCACTGTGTCACACATGGGAAAAGCAGTGGGGTGAGTTCTGTCAACTGGCTTCAAGGCAGACTAGACAAAATGCTTTTACTTTATGCCTCTCAGAAAGCCTGTAACCTTATTTCAACCTTTGAATTTTTTTTTCTTTCAATTAAAAGTAACTTGTTGTACCTTTTTCTACATTCAGCTGCTCTGTTCTATTCTCTGCCTTTGGTGTATTAGATATGTTGCAACTAAATTAACAAAATGTATTACTCATATGTTTCAATAACCACTTCCTTGTATTTTCTTCCTTTTCACAGATGAGTGGAGTTAAAGGCCACTGAATCATTTTTGTTCTTCAAGTCAATTTAATTACAGGGGTTGAGGGATACAGTTATCAAACCTGTACAGGCTAATATAATCAGGTTGTGTGACAGCTGAAAAAGGTGAACACTGAAGCTCAGCTGCCCTTTACTGCTGGCTGCCGGTCAGCAAGACTATCTCCCTCCGCCATTTCACTGCCAATTAAGCCGAGAGTCGTGGATTTGACTTGAGGCTCTGAGCGTGGCAGAGGCGCTATAACGGCTGATTAATCTCTGACCAGGCAATGGTGTGCCACCGTAACTGTGCTGGCGGGTGCCACCTCTTAATAGGCGGGCTCTGCAATCTGAATAGGACCCGGGGGGACGGAGGAGGAAGAGAAACAGTTGTAATTAAAAAGATCTCTGTAGGAAATTAAACTCTGATTGATAAGGTCAACAAAAGGGGCCGTGATGAATACATCAGCATAATGAAAAGTAAACGTAGCAGAGACAGTTAGCCATTACTGCGACCAACAGGCAATTACAGCTACACAGTAAGCTGGGAGCTCATGCCAGCTGAGAGCGGCTCAGAGATGTCCATCAACGGTTCACCGTGAATTATCGAGAAACATCCTCACGTAAGTCTAGGGACATGTCTCTGCTTTCTTTTTTCTTTCCCCTCAACCACTCCATCGTGGCAGTGATCCGTGTCTTCTTTGAACCTTGGAGATCTTTGCAAACTTTAATCTTCTTTGCACTCAGTACTCTGGCTTCGTGCTTCACAGAGCAAACTGACAGGAACCATCTGCTGGGATAGGACTTTATTAAATATAAAAGCTTCTAAGTAGATTTCTCTTCTAGATGCATTGAGTCCTCAAGTTCCTAACACTGATTTTTACTTCCGATCAGTTAGACTAAAGGATAACACATGTA